GGTTTTTTGGCTTGTAACGGCCCTTCGGAACGTTCTTTTCAGTTTTTAGAAGGCGGCGCGTTCCCAGATACGCTGTTTCTATTGATGTTTCTCTCTTCTTTAAATTGCTCAACGTTCCTTCAAACGGCTTGGTCTTAGCAAATGCGGCTTACAGCTTCTTAATTAAATTGGTATTAGTCTATCACGATTGACTTATCGTTTAAATCGACTTGTAAAACTGCGTAGGGGAATGTCGGCTGTGATTCCTAGGGGTAAACTCGCTTTGAGTGCCGTTTCGTCCAACTTCTGCTCCTCTGACATAGCATACCCTGGGATTAGCCGAAGCTTTAAGGCCCAGTAACACGTGTGACATTTAATGGAAATATCTGTGCACTTCTGAAGTAGATGATGCGAAAAGATCTTGAGTGGAAACCCCAGGTGATTTGTCAAGCCTTGAGAACTAAGGGATTCTGATACGTTTTCCTTTGTTTTTCAGAAAAAGAGCAACAGGAAGCAATTGAACACATTGATGAAGTACAGAATGAAATAGACAGGTAACCATTAACAAATTTTTAAACTGTTTCAGCAGAAATTAAAATTTTAACTTTAGAAAATGAAAATATTGAGTAAAGTGAGCGCTCGGAGGTAGTTCTCTCTTAAAACTCCACCAAGATACATTTGTGTTGTGACTTGATTACATGTAAGAGGTATTAGTGTGTGATTAAAAAATGGACGAAGTATCCTGGTTTCTTGTTTAATTATGTATCATTAAAAAGGTAGAACTTGCATTTAAAATTTTAAAATTAAATGTTACACTTTGATAATATTTCTTTCAAGTTCATGTGTATGCTAATTTTGCAGAAGTATTTTCATGTTTGTAAGCAGAATCAAAAACTTGGTTGAAAAGTTAGCTTTTCTACATTTTTTTATGATACATTCAAATGCTTATAGAATAATATGTAGAAGGTGTCACTGAAAGATTAGTTTTATATCCCAGAACTGTCTGTGGGCCCTACGTTGATATTTGCCTGGACCTTATCTCCGTGCACACTGTTATACAAAGACTGCAGGTGACTGTTGAGGCTCTGGCCATGTAGAGTTGTTGCAGTGTCAGGGCTCTGCCTTTTTACAAAACCAGTTAAATGTTGCGTCTTAAGATTTGGCTTGTGTGGAGTACAAATTTGCTTGGCTGTAGCTTGCTTGCTTGCCTGCCCCAAAGTTACAGACACAGGTGACAGTTACGTGCTATCTATCTTCCGGTGTTTTGAAAACAAAGTGTTTAAGAGGTAAAATACTACTTTGCTTTGCATAAATAAGGGTCCGTCCCTTATGCAGTGCTGCAAAACATACGATGTGTTAAGAACTTTCATTAAGATCAGTGAGATTGCTTCTGGTGGTGTGTTTCCTAATAGTCATTACGGGTTTGGGCCGGAGTTTTTTGTTGGAGATACCTCATTGGTTACATATGGCAGACTGGTCTCATCAGGCTCATTCAGTTTTTAGCTAACTACTGATGATGTGTCTTGAAATTTCAGTTCTCTCTCCTGTGGTTGACATGGCTCTTTCTATTACAGACTGAACGAACAAGCCAGTGAGGAAATTTTGAAAGTAGAACAGAAATACAACAAACTCCGCCAACCATTCTTCCAGAAGAGGTCAGAATTGATCGCCAAAATCCCAAATTTCTGGGTAACAACATTTGTCAACCACCCACAAGGTATGTTCTTAAGAGCCTTCTCTTTCTGTAAATTCAGTGTTTGTTTGCCTGTTGTGTGAGTGTCTTGCAGCGCTCACGGTTTTCTAGGATTGTTGCTGGATGTGTGTTTAAACAGAAGCCTGCTTCATATGCAAACATTTCGTTTTTGTCCTAGAGTGCATTTTATAAGCTTTTTATTTCTTGCATTTGTTGACCAAAGGAACATCTTGTTCACTAAAATCCCATTTTGGTTTTCTTTCTGTGTTTTAAACAACACGTTTCCTACTTTTCTTAGTTAATTGGGCCCTTTAAAGAAAAAAAAAATGAGTTTGTTTTTAATTGGAGGTGAGTTCCTTGTGACTCTTGACAATAGACTGTCTCTGAGAGGACAAAACAAGTTTGTAAACTGCTTAGATTGAGCGAACTACGTGTGTGAAAATATTTCAGAGAGGGTAGATGTACCCAGGTAGCTTTTTCTGCTTTTTGACATTGAACTACAACAAGCAAACATAACGTTTTCACTTCAGCAAGTGCAAATCGATCGAATGCTAATAGTCTCTTGGCTGGTAACTTGAGAAAAAAGGGCCACAAGAAGTTGGCCTGGACAGATGTGTTGCTTTTCAAATTGCTGCCAATTTCCTGTATTTCGTCTGCGATACGCGTTTCATAGCTCTTAACGTGGGATTCCTGATTCTGTCTTAGTATCTGCACTGCTGGGAGAAGAAGATGAGGAAGCACTGCATTATTTGACCAGAGTCGAGGTGACAGAATTTGAAGACATCAAATCAGGTTACAGAATAGATTTTGTAAGTACTTTTAAATTTCCTTCAGGTGTGATTTTTCTGAGTTTTTCTGAATGTACTCACATATTGGGTTGTAGTTTGTAAGAGAATCTCTTGTAGTTATCTGTTCAGTACCAGGTTTGACTTGGCATGTGTCTGTATGTTATGTGGATTCTAACTCTTTCCTTTCAACTCTGCAGTATTTTGATGAGAATCCATACTTTGAAAATAAAGTTCTCTCCAAAGAGTTTCACCTCAATGAAAGTGGAGACCCATCTTCAAAATCAACTGAGATCAAATGGAAATCTGGGAAGGTACGTATCTGGGAGAGATGGTTGCTCTGTGTGATACCATCACTTCAATTAGATTCCTTTTTTTTTTCTTTTGTGTGGAAGCTGCCATGTCCTTTTCTTCCCCTCTCAACCCCCTTGCCACTTCTCTACATACATAGCTCACGCCTATCTTGCAGGGTTTGGAATACCCCATTATGTGGAGATCTGTAGTGAATTCTCTTGCTCAGTTCTCACCATCAAAGTAGTAAAAGTACAAGTCTGATCAGATGGAGATAACAAGTTCATTAGCTTGTCTCTTTGGAGTGAATCTAAGCTCTGTATTTTGTTGTTTTCTTAAGATAAATAAAGAATTCCAAGGACTGCAGGGTTTTGGGGGGGTCAGATAGGGGTGTGTGAACTTTTTTTTTCTCTTTATTTTCTCAACTTCATTTCCAGACACTACCCCTTTGGAGAAGTTGCAGCCACACAATACTGTGGGCATGTCTTTCATCCAGACAGTATTCAAGCATAATTGATTTGCTGTAGCTAGTTTCTGTAAAACTTTGGAGCACTTCAGTGTTATCCTGAAGATTTTGAAACTCGGTATTTAAAAATAGAACTGAGGGTTGCAGTTAAATTGTGGCTTGTTTCTTGTTCCATCACCTTCAGACCGAGGAGGAAACTTAATCTTTTTTCATTGAGAAATAGAACTTTTCCTCTTGTACAAGAAGTTAGTTTCGTGCCAGCTGGCCAAATGATCTTTACAACATACACAAACCAATGTGAATTCTGGTGGTGTTCTTCATTAAACAGTCTAAATCTATAAATTTTGTGATTCTATGAAGAAAGCAAATTCCAAAGAAGTTTGGAATTGCCATATGATCAGAGAAAGATGAATTTAAATAACAGATACTTTGTTTTCAGACTTAGCTAACGGATTGTTGCAAACTTACTCAACTGCTGGGGTAAGGTGGTAGATACAGGACTCGTTTATGTTCCTGTGACCATATGTTTTAGCAGTTTGTGTGGTTATTTTTCACTTTCTACAAAGAATGGCCTGAACACTTCGAAGCGGGAAATCTTTGAATAGGAAGGCTAGGCAGTTCTTTATCTTGAGTTAAAGACAGAGCTTAGAGGTGTGGAGTCTGATTGTTTCTTAAATTGCATTTATGTAGTAGTCAGAGCATTTAACTACAATTACAGCTGCTCTAAGCAGTGTTCAGCCATTGTGATATCTTTTAAGTTGAGTAAGTCATTAAACACTTGGCATACTTGTGCTTCCCTGTGATAGGGAAGCATAAATCAAATGTGAGATCCTGGGAATTTTCAGTATTTCAGCGGAGGTCATGAAAAGAAGCAGGCAGTTTTACTGTTTTCTCACATTCATGAGAAATGCAGTGTCTTTTTCTGAGTTTTTTGGGTTCCAAATGTTTCTTAGACTTCTCCCTGAAAGAGGCAGTAGCAAGTGACTTCTTGTGGTTGTTTAGACAAGTACATTTCTAAATGGTGCTTATTAAATTAAAAAAAAAAAAGCCATGTAAAGATCACGTCTTTAGGGAACTTCTTAACTTTCTTTTCAGGACCTGACAAAACGTTCAAGCCAGACACAGAACAAAGCCAGTAGGAAGAGGCAGCATGAAGAGCCAGAAAGTTTCTTTACCTGGTTCACTGACCACTCTGATGCAGGGGCTGATGAGCTAGGAGAAGTCATCAAGGATGACATCTGGCCAAATCCATTACAGTACTACTTGGTAAGTGTAGCACCGCGTTGTTGGTCCGCACCTGTAATGGCGCTGTGCAGGTGAAAGTGAATTTGATCGCTGTAGTTAATGTTGCATACGTGTCTTTAAGGTTCCTGATATGGATGATGAAGAGGGGGAGGGAGAGGAGGATGATGATGATGACGAAGAGGAAGAAGGGTTGGAGGATATTGATGAAGAAGGAGATGAAGATGAGGGAGAGGAAGATGAAGATGATGATGAGGGAGAGGAAGGAGAGGTGAGTAGTCTTACTCCTTCCAACTCTGGTGTATGAGAATCAGAAGGAATTTGTAAGAGGGATCTTGCAAGAATGCTGAGCCATTGTTGCAAAGGCAGAGTAGCTCTTTTCTGTACAATCACTGACAAGGTATTTGAAGGAGAGAAGCAGAACTGTTACCACCTTGTGGAGTGGTTTCAATGTAGTAGTAAGTATGTTTGTGTATATGAGAGACAGTGCAAGTAAGTAGTTTTAGTGAATTTGTAAGGAAAGTGCTGTAGAAAAACTGGGATATTAGGATAACAAAGTGCTTATTTAATTAGTGAACATTCTAGCAACACTTTACTTGTCAATAGCTTTTGTTGATGCATCCAGTTCTGTCATCTCCCACCTGTTGGTTTATTTCTGCTTGTGGCCAGCTTAGCTAAGACTCCGTTGGGTTCAGGAATTAGAAATTTCCTCTAGTAGCAAGTGAGATTCCAGGGATAGCATTCAGGCTGTTGGTAACTTAAAGTTTAGAATGTCTTTGTTTCTTGTGATTGGGAGTGATGTGTTTGAATTTCAGCAGCAAAACATTCTGTGTATTGAGGTAGGAGAGCTGTTGTGTGCACTGGAGTACTGGGCTCTACTATGTAACGTAGAATTTACCATCTGAAAGTCGAAGCGTTTCGCTCTTCAGAGTTTAAAACCAGGAGGGGGGGAAAAAGATGACCCCTTCACTTTCTAACTGTCAAAAGTCATGCCGAGGTCTGTGGTGATTCTAAGTCACGGTATGTTTTCAAACCTGCTGTTTTTTCGTTGGGACACCCAGTTACTAACTGATTTCCGTAGTGGATGAGTACTCAGGGGAAGCATTACTACTCAGTGGTGAAGAGGGAGAGAGAGGTCGTTACACAGCATGCTGTGAGTAACACTGTAGTCTGTAGGGGAGTGAAACAATTCTGGTATTGCATTTGAAAGGTCGCGCTATCTGAGGTTCAGTGATTAGATTTTTTTTTTTTAATTGTTGCTTATCTTTCAACAGGAGGATGAAGGAGAAGATGACTAATTGAACACTGATGGATTCCAAACCCCCTTTTTACCTTTTTAATTTTTCTCCAGTCCCTGGGAGCAAGTTGCTGTCTTTTTTTTCTTGTGCTCAGTCGCCTTGTTCTCTTGAGGTCTCTTTTTCTCTCCTCTACACCATGGTTCACGATTTATTTTGGGGGAAATACCTTGAGCAGAATACACTGGGAAAGAATCTACCAGTTTCTGTTTCAAGTTCATTTTTATCCCTTTCTGTCTCAAAACAAAAACTGTTTATGGAATCAACACACCATGTTCTGTGGGAAAAAAGAAAAACCTTCTGCTCCCTTCACTCTGCTGGAAGCTGAAGAGTGCTAGGCCCCTGTGTAGTAGTGCATAGAATCTAGCTTTTTTCCTTCTTTCTCTGTATATTGGGCTCAGAGATTACACTGTGTCTCTATGTGAATATGGACAGTTAGCATTTACCAACATGTATCTGTCTACTTTCTCTTGTTTAAAAAAAAGAAAAAACTTAAAAAAAAATAAAAAATGGGGTTATAGAAGGTCAGCTGGGGTGGGTTTCAGATGTTTGGGTGGGTTAAGTGGGCATTTTGACAACATGGCTTCTTCTCCTTTGGCATGTTTAATTGTGATGTTTAACAAACATCCTTGCAGTTTAAGATGACACTTTTAAAATAAAAATCTTCTCCTAATGATGACTTTGAGCCCTGCCACTTGATGGAGAATCAGCAGAACCTGTAGGATCTTATTTGGAATTGACATTCTCTATTGTAATTTTGTTCTTGTTTATTTTTAAATTCTTTTTTTTTTTTTTTGTTTCACTGGAAAGGAAAGAAAGATGCTCAGTTTTAAACGTTAAAGTGTACAAGTTGCTTTGTTACAATAAAACTAAATGTGTACACAAAGGGACTGGTTGGTCTTCACTGAAAGAAATAGTTTTAATATCCTGTTTTGAACTTGCTTGTAGTTTCTTGGCATTTTTTGGGGCATTTGGTCAGTATATGCGTAGTGCAATGCAACCTCGTGGTTGTGTGGACTGATAATCAGTTAATTTAGTTTCCACTGTTTCAGGACTTGTAAAATGTCTCATTTGGTAGTTACTCTTGCACACTCAGTTTCTTGACTTATCTAACTCTGTAAGACAGGGCTGTAGGTGCATATGCCTTGTGTGAAGACAGAGGTTTATATTCACGTTTTGCAAAGAGAAAAATCACTTGATTCTTAGATACTTTTTTTTTTTAAGTGGTGACTCGCAGTACTATATCTCCAGTAAATCAGTTTGCGTGAAAATATGCAAGCTCAGAATAAAAAGACCAAGGCGTCTTATAATAATGTCTGGGTGTTTTTCAAGTTTCTTCAGTTGAAAATAAATGTTAAGTGCAAGTTGGGCTATTTCAAAGAGCAAGATTCTTGGCAAAACTCGTGTATAAAAAGTTGCTACTGCACTGCTTTCTTTCCTGGGTAGCAGCATGTATATATGCTTTAGATATTCTGTACTCCCATTTTCAGAGACTGCGTTTGCGTAGCTTGTAACAATTTCACATGGAGGTTGTTGGTACTGGTATTCCACAAAGTGTAACAAAAGTAATTTTAACATGCTGTGCTTTTGAAATACTTTAAAAAATGTTGTATCAGCTAATCTAAAATTCAAACAGCTCGTGCTCTTTGGATGTGTAGAAAAGACTGTCTTCTGGGAAGACTTGCTGTTATTTTCTCTGATTCCTTTTCCTCGCAGAATTTGCTATAGTCAAATTCAGCTTTTTTTGATGCTTAAGGATACACTTACCAGAACAAGATTAATCTCTATTTGAGACATGCCCAAGTAATGTGCGTGGGGGAAACATTCTGTAAGTGTCTGGTCCAGCTTGGATTCATTCCAGTTATCAGAGACAATATGACGTCCACTCTGCATATGATCAATGCAAAAAAAAAAAAGAAAAAGCAATCATTTACTTTATCCCATCCCAACAAAAGCTGCTGCCCTGCTACTGCCTGCAGGGCAAAGTAAAATGTTGATTCATAATGGTTTCTTACCATCTAGAGGGAGAAGGAACAAAACCTGTGAAGTGTATAAATTTGGGATTCCTTTTCATTTGATTCCTTTTTGTTGTAAGATTGAAAACTGCTTCCTGTTGTGGGAGAGGGTCGATGTGCTATTACTTGCCCTGATGCCTCATTATTTAGTTTTTATGTAGTCCTAACTGATGACAGTTTTTCAAGAAAAAGAATTTTTCCTAGTCTTTAATGGTTTAGGTAAAATACACTGCCGTTGTTGGTTACTAGCAGAAAACCTATAAAAACTCTTTCAGAAGTAATCAAAGCTTCAGGTTCTGTAAAGTCAATTACCATGAACAACAAACGAGAAGTCTGGATAGAGAAATGTTACTGCTGCGATATTTCTTGCACATTCTTTAGGATTTTACAGGGTGACAAAACACTTGCTACTGTACTGATAATACTGAATTTCTGGTGAAACTTAAGGTTTTTCTCCTGGCAATGGCTAAAGAGTAAACTAATGTGCTAAACCAAAAAAACATATTTAAGTGCAATCTTTTTTTTTTTCCCCTAGCAATGGAAATGAGTAGGGATTAACATCTCCCTGCAACACTGAAGAAATACTACAGATCGCCATCATGTGCTCTGACTGTTTACTTCATGTCTAATTTGGCTCAAAATATGTAATGAGTGTCCATTTTTACTTTATTTTATTTGTATATGCATATAAAGAGCATCTAAAGGTAGATGTCCACCTTGGAGAAGGATGAGAGATTCATTCTTATTAAGCACATCTGTATCCCGCATTAATTCCCCACTGCTGCTTGAGCTCCTCATATCCAGTTAATCCTGCTAAGTGAAATTTGTCACAGGTGGAAGCTGAATTTCCAGGGTTAGAATATAGAGTTGGTGGCAATTTAATAAAGGTGAAGCTGCTGTGCTGGGGCTGAATGACTTAAAATGACTCAAAGGTTATTTTTATTTTAAGTTTGAAGTTTAATTGCTATAAAATGGAATCTTTTGTCTGTAATTTCTAGTGCCAAAGGAAAGCAAATACAACCATGTGTGTAAATACAGTTAGAGAGGTTTGGGTTTTTTTTAAACAGATTATGTGTGTGCTTATTCATACCTGTCAACATAGTCTTTGTCCCTGTAAATGAGCATTATCTGAATCGATTTCTCAGTCGTTTATGCCATTCATTTGAATCTGTAAGCTTCTCTTTGTACCACGCTCTACACCAGGTGCATAACGATAGTACTTTGTTTATTGGATATTGTTCCTGAATTTTGAAGCCATGCTTTTTTTTTTTTTTAAAGAGACTGAAATCAATGAAATAATTTCTCTGCTGTACCTTCAAGATATCCTTCTGTTTGAAGGAATTAAAGTACATTTACCTGTTACTTGATGTTACCATTTCTTTTCAAAAGAATCAGTTACTGGTCCCAAAGTCGGCATTGTCTCTCAGGGGTGAGGCTGACAGTGCTCACTTCTCTTTTATGGAAATAGATGCCCGGTGGGATAACAGTGACCAGAGGTCACAACTGACTCTGCAACAAGACGCTTGCTTCCTCTGGGAACAGATTTATGCTTAATCTCTTGCCCTCCCTCTCCTGGATTAAAAATGGAAACGGATTCTAAGACTTCTCTCTTGATTCATCACCTTCTCTGAGTGAATGTACTCTAGTGGGGAGAGCCCTGTAGGACATAACTCCGGCTGCCTGCCGAGTAGCCCTCGCTGCTTTGTGCAGCCAGCAGAGCCGGTGGGACCCGTGTGCCCCCCAGGCACAGCCGTGCCCGTCGGGTCGGCTCTCGAGGCACCGTGCTGCCCGGGAGCTG